GTTTGCCTTCCACCACACTTCAAATCATGTCATCTGATGAAACAGAAGTTAGCTTCATTTTATTTTATTGTTTTCTGTGCACTTCAAGTTTGTTCCTCCAAATTAGCTCTTGATCAAGAACTAAATTATTTAAAAGCAGTCGCTATTGACAGGGGCTTTTCACCCAACATTATTAACCGAGCAGTTAAAAAATTCTCATCAGGACACATCAAAGGTACAATCCTGTTTAGGCGATTATGAGAATTCTGTTGTTATTCCTTTCTTTCCGTCAATTAGCTATAAAATTGCAGGTATTTTGCAGAAATTTAACTTTTGAATTGTTTTCTCTTCTATCAATAAAATTCCTAGTTCCATGTTTAAGGACTCTATTCCGTATATGAACTCCTAGGGTATTTACAGGATTCCTCGCCAATGTGGTTTAATTTGCATTGGTCAAAAAAAAAAGAGCCTTAAAATTTCATGTTAAAGAACGTGAGGCAAATGTTAGGAAAAAGGAAACACAGAAATCCGCTGTGTCTCTGCATTGTTGGAATGAAAATCACACTTCCCATTTTTCTGCAGCCAAAATCATTCAGAAAACATCCTCCAATGGTGAATTAGATTTTTTAGACGTGTTTCACATCCAAAAAACATTTCTGTTCTAGTTAATGACCCCAATTGCATTCCATCTTTACCTTCAGTCTTTAAAGAAATTCTGTTTTAGTTTTCTTGTTTCATCAATAGATGTCACCAGTAGCTTTTGTCCAACTTTTCTTATCTTATAAGGTATTTCTCCGACCTTCCTAGCATGCCTCCATGGTGTAATGGTCAGCACATTGGCCGGTATCCAGAAGTCTGCAGTTCAATTCCCAGCGAAGGCATTGCATATTTTTCATCTCTCCGGCTTCTCCAATCGACATAATGTCTCTACAGTGGCACCCAAACTAAAAGGGTGGTGGATGATGATTTCTCCCCACCCAGAATTTGGCGATTGTGTCCCCTAAAAACCCCAGTAGGCCTTCAAAAGGGAGAGTATATAAGGCATTTCTTCTGTCTTCCTAGCATGCCTCCATGGTGTAATGGTCAGTACACTGGCCGGTATCCAGAAGTTCGCGGTTCAATTCCTGGCGAAGGCATTGTATATTTTTCATCTCTCTGGCTTCTCCAATTAACTTAATGTCTCTACAATCTTATCGCTATCCTTATCTTATCTTTCTGCACACTTTATTTGGTTCATTTGCACTTAGCAGCTGAAGAAAGTAGTTAAAAAACTATCGAAACCAGTACAGTCAAAAGTCTTTAATCCGAACGTCCATAATCCGGACCTCAAAGCTACAAACTTTCTGCACATGCGTAAATGCATTATGCATTTGCGTTTATGCATGCGCATGATACCTTTAGGCATGCACATATGCATTTATGTATGCGCATAATACTTTTACACACGCGCATATGCATTTACATATGTGCATAATACCTTTACGCATGCACGTTTAATGCATAACGGACAGTAAAAGCTAAGCTAAAGCTATCTAATTATCTATTTAAGTTAATGTTGCAGATTGTGTTGTTCCTTAATCTTCGAATTGGATCCGGCTTATTATTTTTTGCAGACTGTTAGAGCAATTTTATAAAAGTAAGCTTGAACTTTCGATTATGTCAAAAAGAATTTATGATTCTGGAGCTGCCCAAAGGATCTACAAAGTGAAAGCATGTTTAAATGTCCATCAAACAAAAAGTGGAATTGCTGCAAAAAATGGATAACATATCCTTTGTTCCTCTAACCATTCCGAAATCTGTTTATTAATTTCACGCTGCTCTGCGGGAGGGGGGGGCATCGCCGCGCACAATGAACTGGAAGCTTATAATTCCTTACTAAATGTAGTATTTCATCTCGATGTACTTCATCTTCAGCCTCTTACTTGGTTCAAAAACTTGTCTCAGTTTTCTGCCAATTATGATAATATGCTTAATGAAAGCTTTTTCCATGTGAAACTTTTATCTTTCATAATAATATTTGGTAATTGTAGACAGAGACCATAATTTATTTCACCAATGGTTGCGCATTCTGAAATATATGAAGTGGTGGGAAGAATCACTTGCTTGGCAACAATTTAAATTTTAATCAAAATTTAAATTCCTATTTTATTAAATACTGTTGTTCCAGATACAGATCTTTCACCTTAATCATTAAATTTTCATATCAGTAATGTTGGATCAAGCAATGAGGGATCAACAGAACACAAACGACTCTCTTCTACAAAGTTTCTGTCAAAATCAGCATACTGATATTGGCAAAATGTTTTTAGCTTGCGATATTTTCTCGTACTTTTTTATTTTTGGTTTGATGACCTTCTTTCTTTCTATCTCACACTAGGCTCGAGGCATTTTGCTGCACTAGGTTAGAGTCGCCAGTAAATATTGCACTACGTTAGAGGCATTTTGGTGCCTGGCATATCTAAAATTTTTCACCCCTTAGCAATGCTGCTCTGCAACTTCACCAGCTGCCCCTGGCTCTGATGCCAGCATTACACTTCTTTTAATCTGCTGATATTTATTGTTTTTCTAGTTTTTGATCAACATGTATGTCTGACATGTCCTTCATGAGAGTTTCGTAGCCAAACAAAAAGTTGTGCTATGATCCACTGTCTGATCACCACAAATTTCAGGCAATAATGTGAAATTTTGCTCCTGTAAACATTTATTTTTAGTCTGATCTTTTATTTTGTAAAGTATCCTCTGCCTATAGACTCCATTTGAGATTTATTTTCTGTACGCAGGTTACATAACCCAATGGAAAGTTGTACTATGTAACCATTAGACTGACAATAATTTTAAACTTTCTTCTGAGTTATTTTACTTAGAAATTCAAAATGAGATGGTAAGTCATTTGACCGCCTTTATGGGTCCAACAGTTAGAATATGGTGGATCCGAACACCTATTTGGCAAGAGCTTAGGAACTAAACTATTGTGCAGACATCTGATGTGTTACAAAAGGTCTTCATACAGAAGATCTGTGCATGTCCATAGAAATATGAAGAATTACGTATTCATGTTGTGAACTAAATTCATTACAGTAGTGACAGGTATGTTTTCTTTCTTAACACTAGTTTTATTTGACATGTATTTGAAAACAGCTCAAAATTATACAGCTAGGTTGATAAGTTTGGCTGGTAGACAGATGGAATATATGCTCATTAAAGCATATATACACATCGGAATTAACTACTAGATTTATTAGCAATAGGTTATGTATGTCTAGAATTATAGTAACAATTCAAAAGGTGGTTTCGAGAATTTTCAATGTTGTGTATGAACTTCGTTATCTATGTCCAAAATTATCAGAACTATTCAAGAGATAGTTTCAAGAATTTTCAATGATATGCAAGAACTTCGTTATCTATGTCTAAAATTATCAGGATCAAAATTATCAGAACTATTCAAGAGACAGTTTTGAGAATTTTCAATGATGCTCATGAAATTCGTTATCTATGCCCAAAATTATCTGAACAATTTGAGATATATTTTCAAGAATTTTCAACGATGTGCCTGAACTTCATTATCTATGTCTAAAATTATTTGGATGATTCAAGAGAGAGTTTAAGAATTTTCAATGATGCACCGAGTATTGATTACTAAAAGATTCTGGCATTGGATTCCAGAATTGTTAAAAGAAATCATTAAAAGAAAATTTTAAAAACTACAGAACTCGAGACATTATAATAAAAGTTGCAAAAAAATTCATCTTCTCTGTTTAATGCTTTTAATTGTTACCTTCATTCGTGTTCACTTGGGTTTTGTAACCTTTTTCCGGAGAGAGAAATATGTAGAACTTTAAAATTTTAGGAACTAAATGTATATTTAATTTACATTCTGATTTCTTTTTAATTTACTATCAATTTATTATAATCTAGCAGCTTCAGCACAGATTTGTCTTTTCTCTTTTTTATTTATTATGCTTCAATGATGACTATTCTTAAGAGTATATAAAGATTATTTTATATTTTAACAAACATGTATATACGTAAAAAAGCAAATTTAAAGTTAAAATAATGTGCAAACATATTGGCTCAACTTTACTTACATTAGCGCCATCTATATAATTTGCAGAACACACTTCCATCACTTAGGAAATACTTTTGCAGACCCCAACGCTTATATGGTAGGTAAGTTAGAATTAAAAATTACTATTTACTTGCTTTTAAGTATTTTTTAAGTAGTATTTAAGTATTTTCTAGATATGTAATTATATTTTTAAGTATATATTTCTTTTTTTTAAATTACGAATTAGTTCTTTTTAGTTTCTTATTGGTTTATATTAATTTTGTCTAGTTCCTTTTTAGTTTCTTTTTGATTAATATGCATATTCATGTCGGGGAGGTTTCTGTAGACAAGGGTTTCTAAAATGCATTGGTTTCTAAATTAATTTTTCTGGAAAATTTAATTTTTTAAAAAATTTAATTTAATACTAAACTTTACATTGTTTATTTCTCAAAATACTTCATTATTGGTATTTTCCTTTAGACCTTTAATTTTTACTTGCTAATTACTCAAGGTACCACTCAGTTTTTTTTTTTTTTGACATTCTTACTATGTATTTACTTTTGGTTTTGACTTTTCCCTTGCTGCATAATGACGAACACGAATTGAATGATTGAAGAGGTTTTGGAGGCAACTCCCTTTGATAAGTCTGTCTCCTGCCTGCTCACAGTCATTCACTTATGCATTTAAAAAAAAAAAAAAATTAGATTAATTTTTAATAGCTAAATTGGTGAATTTTTTTCATGGTTTGGTTTGCACTTGATTACTTATGCTATCTGAATTTAAATGATATTGTTAATTAGTTTGAAAATAAATCTTTATATGTTTGCACATTATTTTAACTTTAAAATTTGCTTTTTTACGTATATACATGTTTGTTAAAATTTAAATTTCATTCCTTGCAGCAATGGCGCAAAGAATTAATTAAATTTGTATTTATTCAATTTATTCTTTTGAAACAAAATTATTTTATACATACACTATTTGCTTGCATAATGGAAATATTGCCTCTGGTAAGAAAAGAGAAATGAATCGACCTCTCAAATAGTTCAAGATATGAATGACCTGCAATAAAATTGATCTTTCAGAATAATAAACAAATTACTGAATGAATATGAAATACAATAATTCACAGCATATACTCAAGAAATTAATTACTTTAAAAATAAAAAATATCCACTTCAGATTAAATACAGTTGAATAGCAAGATTTAATAAGAAAATCTATGCACTTAATTTCAGACTGAGAAGGATCCAATACTTTTGCTATGTGGAGAAATTAGGGTTATATAATTTTTCAATACTTCTTTGTTAGAACAGCAGCAGCAACCAACCATTTTTTGTGATTTTAGATTTGCACCAAGATCTCAGCTATAATTTTGCCAAGCTCACGAAGCACAGATGTAAAAATAAACAACAAAATACATAATTGTAACAATAGTACTCAGATGTCATTTCCTAAGAATATTCTTAAGGAACCTTATCCTTATTCATACTATTTTAGTTCATGTAATTGTTCCAGTCAAGAGCAACACTTTCACACATATTAAGCTTTTTGTTACACCATTTCACGGATGTCAAATCCTCTGCCCAAGAATACATAAATCTAATAGCAGTGACAAATAATATTCTGGAACCACTGAAACCAATTTCCAACATGGAGGTCTTTCGTCTTTTTGAAATTTTTAACATTGCACCTCGAAATGGTTTCATCATTAATATAAAGTTTCACGTTGCGGCCATTTTTGCATACTCGTTCGTCAGGTAAAAAATCTCTTTGTTGGAAAATAATATGGCATCCACCTCATTATTTCATAAATTTAAGATTGTTTACACCATATTCACAACAAAAAGAAATTAATACATTTTTAAATAAAGAATGCAAATTCAAAAACCTCATAAAAAATAAATAATATAAGAACATGCGGTGAGAGGAAAAATGTAGCATGATGCTAGTATATGATTATATGGTAAGGTAAAAGAATGTGCAGCCTGTGCTAATTATACAATCACATGGTGAGGTATAAGAACATGTGGCCAGATATCTCTGTTTATAGAAGATTCAATCTTGGGGCCGCTATAACAAAGAAGTACTGGTTTATTTTAATAAGACACTGTCCATTCCCATACAGTATTTGAATGTATTAACCTGCTATATGGCTAATGAGATCATCTAATTTTTTACTTATCAAGCATGTTTGAGAAATTATTGGATATCAGCTACATACTCATCTGCAGCCAACAATGCCTGGATTCAGTTTAATTGCTCAGATGTAGCAATCTTGGCATTCCATGCTACAAAACAACCTCTGCTACCTTTGGAAACTAATGTATGTGTTTTTGAATATGTACATTAAACATCTTAGTGATTACAATAATTACTGATGTAAAAAAAATTCAAATTTAACTTTGTGCAGTGCACATGCAATACAAGTCACAACTCTGTAACTTCAATAAATCAGACAATAAATGCAGTGTTATAAAAAATAATATAGATTGCTGTATTTCAGACAATAGTCATTTATCATTGTCTAAAATTGGAATTGCTTCATGGTTTTCTACTAGATGTATTAAAAAAATACATACTTTATATATCTTGTTTGGCCACTGCAATACTATGGAACAATTAATGGAGTGCTTTTGATTTTTAACAAACAAGCATAAAAAGGAATTCAAATTAATGTTTATGAATCTGATGAATTAAATTTACTTTTTTATGGATAACTTTTAATAATTTATATATCTTCTAAAAAGATTTCTGTTTTAATTCCGTTCTGTGTGACCTAATCGTTCATTTTCTTTTCTTTGTAGATCAACTTGATGTTTATGTTACATTAGAAACTCCAGGAAATGAATCTGAAATCTAATGGTTTCAGTGAAGGGTAATAACCCTACGTGGGAACAAGATTTCATATTGTATGTGTATTTAAATTGAATTTTCATATTTGTAAAATAATATATTTCTTAACATTATACACATTTTACTTTAATTTTTACATGCAAATTTTCTGTGTAAAAATATTTCTAAATGAAGGAAAAATTTATGCTATAATGCATACTAGAAATATTCATTTATCCAGATATCTAGTTAGCAGATAAATAAAATTTCTATGCTACATCATAACTGTGTTTGTCAGATTGTTAAGACTGTGGGTTCACTAATATGGTAATATAAGCTAAGTTATAGATTTTCACATTCTTTATTTAAATGTTAACTAATTAAGGCCGACTTGAGGGCAATCTGTTCTATGGGAAGGAATGCTTTCCTGGAGTCTTTTTAAGGGAAAGTAGTTCATGTTTATGTTACACATTAGGGAAACCAATGAAAACTCCCTTCCAGCTAGTCCATTTGCTGGGATTTGAACTATGGTTGAATTACTGGTGTTCAGCAAACTTACCACTGGTTGGTGGGCCTCTTCCGTTTTAAAAACCCTCATTAATGTATGATAAGAACATTTTACAATATTGTATCAGGAAATAATTATTGCTGTGCTTAGAGCTTAGCATTGGAAAATAGGTTACAGTAAAGTGCATATCCAGGATGCCATTAAATTTTATGAGTGCTGTATTCCAGAGATTTTCAGGTTTATTTTCCTGCTAATTTTCAATTATTTAATTCTGAAAGAATAATGTTAATAATACTAAAAAAGTATAATCAGTGATATTTAAAATAGTATAAAA